GTACATTTTTTTTGAGTCAGCAAGATGGTTCAACAGGTAAAGACACTTGCTATTGCTAGCAAGCCTAACAACCTGAGTATGACTCCTGAAACAGACATCTTGGAAGGTAAGAACCAACTCCCAAGGCACATACACAATTAAAAACTTTTGTTTACTGACTCCTGCTTGTATCACAATTTCCAATGCTTCCAGTAAAAGGATAAGGAATTGTACCTCCTGCTTTCCATCCAAACTGGTAAGGAGCACTGGTCGACCTATACATATGTTGGCAGACTTCATTGTATTAAGTCCAAGATGAACAAGGGAATTCTGGAATGTCTTAGGAACTTTGCCATCTACTATAAAAGAAGAGAGAATTTATTTTATATCATTTTATAACTAAAATTAAGGCATTTTTACATAAATGAAAATTCTACATAAAACCAATGAATTTATCATATCCTGAAGAAATCCTCTTTTTTAAAGTAACGTAAAGTCAAACATTTTTGAATGTTTACTAGCAATGTGTGAGTATAATCTGTAAAACCTACAAAGTTTAAAGTAAAGAAATCTCTTGGTTCATTAAGAACATACTGAGGCTGAGGTATATTAGGTCAGAGTAGAGTACTTCCCTAGCATGGCCAAGGCCTTGAGTTCTGTCCTAAGCACTGTGCACTGTGGAAGACAGCACCAACTACAAAAACTAACTATACTTCCAGCAGTCTCTGCAGAAAGACAGTCAGCTGCTAGGTTTCAAAGGCTACCATTAGAACATTTATCTGGCTCTGGACGCTTGTTTCCGCTTATGAACCACACCATCCAGGATTTTAAAACCTTCCCTAAAAAACTCCACCCCTCCCAGTTAATGGAGATCATGTACAAATTTTCATCCAAGTTCTTGTTTCTAATATACTATTCTACAGTGCTCTGCTTATAACAGCCAAATTGACTCAAGCAGTCTACAGAACTCTACCAGTCCTCACTCTTCCTAGACTTTACATTTAGAGTGTGCATGCATGTACATGGGGGGAAGAGGCCAATTTCAGGGGTCCTTTATACCATGCAGATTCCAAGGATCAAACGTGAACTCACAGCAACAGGCGCTTAGAGCAGCTAGTCACATGACAGTCACAATCAAAAGGAAGCAATGAATGCACACAAGAACTTACTGTTCTCTGCTATGACTGTGGATATAAAGTGGATATTTCGCTCAAGGTCCTGCCATTTGTAACTTCCTGTGAAAAACTACAATCTGAAATTGTGAGCCATAAAAAATAAAATAAAAAATCCATTCTCCCTTAAGCTGCCTTTTCAGGGTATTTTATCATAGCAACAGGAAGGAAACAAAGGCAGCCCCCCCCCCCCAATGAATCACAGGTATGCATCCCCACATCATAATCCTGTGTTATGTGCCTTACTCAATCAGAAGGAAGCCTGATACCTTTTGGCTACTCTGGGCCAGTGAGCTCTTAGGGTACACCTGTCTTTAGCTACCAATTATCATGTTATAAGACACCCAGCCATACATGGGTGCTGAGGATTCAAACCCACAGAACCATCTTCCCCACCTCCACGCCAAGCTTTTTACATAGGTGCTTGATAACTGAATTCTGGTCTTTATGTCTGTGCCACAAGATCTTCACCCACTGAGTCATTTCACCTCCCATAAGGCCAATTTCTAACAACCATCCACCCTTGCTCCATTGCCTCATTGAGTTTATAACCTAGTAGGATGAGTTATCAACCAGTACGGGATAACTGCTTCGTAACAAACTAAGACAACATAACAACAAAATGACTGAGATTCCTAGCAAAGTCTCTTCCATGAGATCTGACATAATTTGGAAGAACTAGAGAATGCTATTCAAAAGAAAGTACTGTTAAAATTCTGGTGTGTAGGAAGAGGAAGAAATAACTCAATATGAAGAGATAGTATTTTTCTTAACAGAAAAAGCATGCAGAGACGCTGTGGACAGAGAGGCATATGATGCATCCTTTAGAGACTAAAAGACTGATGAGAGACAAGAGAGTTGATTAAGGAAAGCAAAAACACGAGGGGCAGTGTATTGTACCAAGATAACAGTCTTAATTAACCCTGACAGCAATGAAGTCCACAGTGACAAATCGTAGTATCTCTGTCCATTTTAAAAGGTTACTCTGACTATAAAGTAGAAAAAAAAGAGCAAGAGAATAAAATTGCACGCAGGGAAATCAAATAATGGCTATTGTAGGAGTTCAGATGAAGGATGATAGTGTCTGAATTTGAAACAGAAACAGCAGGAATGCAATAAAGGACTCAGTGGTGAAAGATATGAGAATGAGCTGTGTTATGTCTAACCCCTAGATTTCTGATTTGTTTTCCAGACAGGGTTTCTCTGTGTAGCTCTAACTGTCCTGGAACTCACTCTGTAGACCAGGCTGGCCTCAAACTCGAGATCCGCCTACCAGTGCTGGGATTAGAAGCGTGTGCCACCACCAAGTGGTTTCTACATTTTTAAAGGACTAAAGGTTGTACTACTGGAAGAAGTAGACTTAAGAAGTTGGTTCTAAAGTGACTTTGAAAAATTAAAGGGACGAGGTAATGGACAATACTATTCAAGATATAGTCTAAAAACTAGTTGTTACAAGTTCATAAGGCTGTAAGTATTTAAAAATCACTTAGAAACTTTTACTGCAAGCAGATAAAAGTTTGTGTCTGTGAGCACAGTAAATTTCATTATTTTGCTTTTTATTTTTCTAACTGCGCTATTTACTGGCTCTGTAGACCAGGCTGGCCTCGAACTCATAGAGATGCACCTGCCTCTGACTCCTGAGTGCGGGGATTAAATGTATGCCCCAATCCTTAGAAACAGTACACTTTACAAAAACTAATCAAAATTGAAGATGATATAAATGAGAAACTTAGCTTTGGATATTCTTGCGATATATATTTAGAGAAAAAAAAGAAGATAATCAGACTAAGAATTAAGAAACTTCAATATTTCATAATCAGATGGAAGAAACATGCAAAGAAAATGATTGCCAATGCACATGGATAAAATTATGGAAGTCTAATGATAAATAAAGTAAATAGCAAGGTGCTTTGAGGAAGATGAACAATGCCAAAAGGTGCAGGCATCAAAAGACGAGTAATGAAAACCATCCACTGGTTTGCCAAAAGAGACAAGCTGTGACCATTACAAAGCAACTCCCAGTAAACGATGGTATGCAAGTCAAATAGGACCAGGATATGTGATTGACACATAGGCAGCGAACACTCCATTTAATGAGCAGGCAATATACAGGTGTAAAGAAGGTGTAGAACTTCAGCAGCGGCTTGAGATAGAAGATGAACATATGTAAATTAAAGGAGTAAGGATCTACTTGAAGAGAGTTGAGTCTGCAACAGAACAAGAACAAGCTGTATTCTGGTTTCTAAGTCAGAATAAAAAACACTGTGCTAACCCTCAAATTGTCTTTCAAGTCTTATTGTACATAAAAACCACGCCCCTAGTTAAATCTCCTCCAGTTTTTCTAAACAATTATGCATCAAGCATGCTAAAAGCCTTACCAAGTGAATGATTTAAGTCTGTTCATTCACCCAAGCCAACAAAACTGACCTAAGACAATGGCTCTGGAATCAAACGGATCTGAACTCAAACACGAAAGCCCGTTTACCTTTTCTACTCTGCAAAACGGACATCATTACGCACTCGCCTACCACCGCTTCTGCCAACACTAAATGAGCTAAGGATGTGACAAGGCTAACTTACTATTAACACTAGTGTGCAATTAACTAAACAGCAACTACTAAACATCAGAACCCGTGTGGTCGACGGAGAAACGCCGTCCTTCCTAAAGCCGCAACGCTGTCTGCTAGGCCGCACGGTTTCGCCATCAAAAATCGGTATTTTGGCTTTTTTTTAGCGTGAGCTATGCCTGCTGGCTAAGAAACACGTTTGCAGCGTCGGATAGGCAGTGAATCTGAGAGCGGCCGCGGCTCGGTTGGTAGTCTCGCTTGGCATGGGCAAGGCCGGGAACTCAATCTCAGCACTGACGGAGTAAGGAAAGGAAGACTACACAGTAAGGGAAAACTCGGGTCGGGCGCCGCCGAGGCGCCAGGGCCCGCGGGCCCCCGTGTCACGCCCACCTCCACACGCCGCACTCCCCTCGGGCGCCTCAGCCTCGCCGCTGCCCCCGCTTTCCTCACCTTTCTCAAGGAAGTTGGTCACCACCAGCATCCCCGGCGCCGCCACGTCCGGCCGGGCGAGAGGAGCCGGAGTCCCCGAGCGAGACGAAGCAGCGGACAGCGAGGGCGAGGTGCCCTCCGCGCCCTCCTTCTGCCGCTTTCTGTTCTTCTTGGAAGACATGACCGCAGGCTGTCTGAAAAGGAGCCGACCTAAAGCCGGCTCAACGTGCGCGGCTCGGGGAGAAAACTTCCAGGTCAGAGGTCAGCGGCTCGGCGCGCACGCCGTAATGCTCCACGTAGAGCGCAGAGCGCGAGTCTGAGGCGGTTGGCGGAGGTCTCTCCAGACGCTTTCGTGAAGATAGGCTTTGGCGTAGCAACCTCCGCTCACGCTATGGTTCCCTGAAAACTGAACTTCGGTTACTACACCGCTTTGCCTAGACTAGAAGCAAGTGCCGGTTGGCTTAAAAATAGCAAAAAAAACAAAACCCTGAAGTTTCTCATCTGTGTCCGGAGCCACCGAAGACACTCCGGGGTCAACTCTACTGAGAGCTCTGCCAAATGGGAAGCCCAGCTCAAACTTAGCGGGAGGTGACACTTTTCGAGAATTTACGGTCAGCTCTCCTCCCACCGAAGAGGGGCGGAGCGAGCGCCGGAAGACGCCGCGAGATTGTTTGCGGCGAGGCGGGGAGGGACGATCGCCGGAAGGAGAGACGAGGCTCTGCACCAGACGACGTGGGGGGGGGGGGGAGCGCAGAAAGTGAGACACGGCTGAGCCAGAAGGGGGCGGGATGGGGCGGGACGGGGCGAGATGGGGCGGAGCGAGGCGAGCGAGGCATGGGGAGCCTAAGGAGCCACGGAAAGGCTAGGTGCCGCAATGAGGTGGCTCCAGAGACGGGTTTGCTTGCAGGCGGCGCTGCTCCGTGCAGGCGGAGCGGGGCTCCAGGCAGGGCCACGCACAGCCTCGGGCAGCCCGGGAGATGCAGGCGAACTGCCAGGCGAGCTGGACAGATTTGGGGGCGTCTCCGTGCACCTGGCACGGCACCGCGCGCTGCACGAGCTGGACGCTGCCGCCTTCCGGAAGCTCTTGCAGGGCAAGTGCGGGTCTCGGGCCCCGGAAACCAGGGCGGAGCGTGCGGGCTCTGAGGTGAAAGCTGAACGGACGTCCAGTGGTCCTCTACTTGTGACCTGGAAGTTCCCCCAGCCACGTCCGGGTCTAAACCTGGATACTCGCCCTTGCTATTGGCGAGGGTTCGCAGCGCCTACCACGGTGTCGGCCACACATTTAACTCTTAGTAAACGCTGATAACCTCACTGTTTGATACCTTTTGCAGCCTTAGTTTCGTTAGCACTTAGATTCTGCCACAATATTTGCGAGGCAAAACTGTCTCCTGATCGGGACAGATAGGAGTTGGCAGGTCAAGAACCAGTGCTTGTTTCCACCTACAGAGCTTTGCAATTTCAATAGGAACACGTCACTAGCTTTGAACACTGAGCCCAGTGTAGGAGCCCTAACTTTTGGGTTTATTAGAGCAGTCTGTTTCTCAAACTGAAGACATAGCGTGGAAATTCAGCTATGGGAAGATCCAGTTAGCAGCATGGCAAGTAAGCGCCTCTAACGCTCTTCGTTTTCAAACCAAATCTACTCATCATCTCTCCTGCTTGTAAGAGCTGAGAAGCCCCTCCCAGGCTCCTGCAATGCCACCCCTAGGAGAATGAATCTGTTCATCCACACTGATTATGTGTACACATGTGGAGGACACAGGTGTTTGCCATTACAGTGACTAATGCTAATCTAAGCACTACTCCAGAAAGTGCTGGATTTAGAAATATGTCTAGGGTTCAAGTGCCACGTGCTTTGCCAGGCAGTAACCAAATACCACTGAAAAGACCTCTTAGGTGAATAATGCTAGCCCTAGTTACTGGGTAAGTATGATCAAAGCCACCCTGAATAAGTCCCTCAGCTATGAAGTACAATTTCTTTTTTGCAGATATTTAATAAAACATTTCACTGTAATTATCTTGTTTTAAGAAATATGAATTTATGTCTTCATAACCTGAAAAGTACATGCTCATCCCAGCTGATAATGCACCAAGGCACAGAGGCAGTAGGTCCTCCCCTGGTTCTGGGTCTGTACTTTGTTCACACTTCTAATTCTGGTGGGATGGGATAAAAACAAAATTAATTGACAGTGCCTGTAAGGAACAACTAACCTGAGAAGAAAGCCTGATAGGATGCCTGTCTCTTCGAGGTTGAACGTTATAATGTGTTAGTAATGCTGTTAAAGCATGTTTGCCCATGAGGGTCACTATTCCTTCACTGCTGTTTCATTACTGACAACTCAAATTTGGATTATAGTGTGCCTAGCCCTGCATGGACTATTTCTTGGCAGAGGGGTTTTGAGGCAGGTAAATGTTATAGATAGCTTAAGCTGGCAACGCACTCACTACCCTCCTACCTCTGCTTCCAGAGCATAAATAATTACCATGCCTGACAGATTTACAATGGCAGTGAAATAGCTCTGCTTCTGTGAGAGGATTGCAAAGTCATGGCATTTTAACTAGAAATAGAAAACTAGTTAGCAGGTTAGGTGATGTGTGACACATTCCAGTGAGTCACACAGACACTACATGGTAAGGTCGTGTAATAGGAGCTCCTGTGCAGTGTTTGAGAGACTTTTTAAAGAGGTCATACAGGAGTTGGGTTTCCAGGACCTGGTACAAGATGTGGGAATGTGAGGAGGGACCATGTTTCTTAGAGGGGAAAAGGGGAAGGAAGAAATTCTTAATGGAATTAGGTCTAAGATAACTTCACTATGAGGAACGAACATCAACAGGCTCTGGACAAAGCTAGTATGGGCTCTGGATTCAGTGTTGAGATGGTTTTCAGTAACAGCTGGAAAGAAGTGAGGTCAGAACTGGGCAGCCTCATGCTTTAGTTGAAGAAGTGTAACATGAATGGTCCAAAGTAGCAAGTTTAAAGGGAAAATTAAATCCCTGTTCTCATCTGAGTGGAAGGACTGCCTGGGAAGGAGCTCAGAGGACCCCGCATGATGGAAATGTTCAGGAGTCTCTGGAGGTGTTGGTTATGAGTATCTGCATAGGTAGAATTCTTCAAATGCACACTTGGGATTTGTGCATCTAGCTTTATGTCATTATACCTCAACTAAGAAGGATTCAGTTAGAGAAAGTGAGGTCAGAAGAATCTGCTCCTATGGCCACGGTGCATGTTGGATCAAATCAAGACCTCTATTAAGGACCAAAAACTTATCACTGTGATAGGCAAATTGACCTCCAAAGAAGTGGAGCCTGTGGTCCCTAGCAGGGAGAAGCTTACATAAGCAAGGCTAAGAAAGAGAATAGACAGGCAGGTTACCAGGAAATGGATAATAGCATACTTGGGCACCAAGGTAGAAAGGGTAGGATGATCAGTGACTTTGCTGAAGTCTCAGCTTACCTGTCTCTCATAGTGTTAACACTTGAATAATGTTAAGCATCTGAAACATTTAAGGCTCAAATAAGTGAGCACCTTTCCCCCTGGTTTAATTCCACAGGAAATTAAGAACATGTAAAGATTTCTAAGATAGAAAACCTACCTTTATATTCAGAATGATGTTTATACTAAACTTTTAAGTAATATAAATGTCTAGAGTAGAAGCTGGCTGGGTGGCGTGTAGGAAACACAAGGGAAGCTGCTGCTATTGAGAAATACATTTTCATTGAAGCACCTTCCCACTAGCCTGGTACCACAGCAGCATCAGCCCCAAATAACACAAAGAGACATTATTAATTATGAAAAGACTGTTTAATATGTAATGTATTATTAAAGGCATAATATAAGCTATAGATATTATGTTAACTCCAAAAATCACAAGGAAAAGATCCAAAAGTTTCTTCAGGCTAGTATTAGAGAATTGACTTAAAAAAAAAAAAAAAACTTTTCTTTAATCCTTTAATCACCATGCAGTTTGTTGTAAGTCAAAAATAACATCAGAACTCCCACAGGGAGAGTTAAAAACAAAAACAAACAAACAAAAAACACCCTTCACCATCATTATGAATGTTAAAATTAAGGCATTAAAGAAACAGAATGGGCTGGGGTGTGTCTCAGTGGTGAGGTACCCTATAACATATACAAGACCCTAGCTGTGATCCCCAATACGGCAAAGAAGAAAGCACTAAATGTGCAATTGTTTTAAGTCAGTTCCTTTGTCCCCTCTGCAATGGCTGTTGAGTGCTGGACCTGTGTTTAGGAGGGATGGTTCTAAATGCCAGCACTGTGATGGGCAGAGAATCACATAACTGGGCTATAATAATGTGGAGAAGCATAGACTGTTCATCTCACAGAAAAGCTTTACGGATTGTTATCTTCCTCCCTCTGCATTCTAGCTGCCATACGACAGTGGCGATCTGAAGGAAGGGTAGCTGCATGGCTGCACATCCCCATCCTGCAAAGCCACTTCATCGCCCCTGCTGCTTCCCTGGGATTTTGCTTCCACCATGCCGAATCCCATTCCTCCACGCTGACTCTGTGGCTGGGAGAAGGACCTAGCAGACTGCCAGGATACGCTACTCACCAAGTAGGGGTTGCAGGTCAGTTTCAGATCCATGCCTACCGGAAATACCTTTTTGCAGGTTTACCATGTCTCCTTGCAGCTGAGCTGCTAGTCTGTCAGTAGATGCTGGTTCATTAAGCAACTGTGCAACGGTAGCATAGAGCTTTCAAAAAACGAAGGCTGACTGGATCACAGAGTGGCACAGAGAACAAGCAGAGAAGTGGGCTTCCCAAAGGCCACACTTAACATGCTCCACACAGATGATTGGGCTCCACTTCTCAGTGGTGGCACTGAATGGGGATAAGGAAATAAAAGCACATATCATCCCAAATTAACAATGAAATCTCTAGAAAGAAAGGTGGTGTTGTTTTGTTTTGGTAATTCAAGTGTATTGCAGTCAGAACATATATGTCATAATAAACTTGAAACATATTCATGAAGACAAGAATAAGTTTTAAAAGATGAAACAGAATATTAGAGTAGGTTCTTAAAAGAGTAATCCTTGAACACAGACATTAAGGGTAATATTGGCATCGGTCAAAGGTTGAGCATGTCCTCATGGAGTACTCTTCGTCCTGGCTTCGGCCAACTATGGTTTCAGGAGTCCTTTGTAGTAGTTATTATCAGGCATTCATGTTAAGGACTTGTCTTTGTAATCTCCCAGCTTTATCTCCTTTTGTTGGGATCGGCACAAGGAACCCCATTCTGATTCTGACAAATTTCATGGTTGTTTCACATATACTAGTACTAAATATACACTAAATGTGTATAGTGGTACAGGAAAACTTTTAGGTTGAACTTGAAATGAGACTAACTAACCATTTAATCATTTGACTATTACTTCCTAAGACTTTAAATGGTTATTGTGCCAAATCGTAGTTAAGATAGAACAGTATAAATAGTGTAGAGCCTTGACCTCTACAGTTAACTTCAGTGTTACATGATAAATAAAACACCCAGAGACAGATATTGGGTTCAGGCTTCAAGCTGAAGATCAGAAAAGCAAAGCAGTGGGGTACTTTCTCTCACTCTACCTCAGACTGAAAGGCAATCTTGGCTCTACCAAACCTCAGACTGCTGTCTCTCCTCAATGTGGCTGGAGAACGAATGCCTCTCTGAGACCTTGCTTCTGTCTTATATACTTCCCTAATGTTGGGATTAGAGGTATAAGCTATAATTCTCTTTTAGACTGATTCACTCTTGTGTAGATCTGGGTGGCCTTGGACTCACAGGGATCTGTCTACCTCTTAATCCTGAGTCTTAGGATTACAGGCTTGTACCACCACCTCCTAGCTTCTGGCTGCTGGGATTAAAGGAGTGTATCACCACTGCCTGATCTCTATAGCTTGAGGCTGATGCTTTTCTGAACCCTCAGGCAAACTTTGATAAGTCATAAAAAAATATATCACCACACTTCAGAAACAGGAAATTCTCACTGCTGAGGGCATTGGAATCTCCCAGAGGACTTGCCAAAATGACCAGCTACTTCCACCCCAAAGTTCTGATTCCTACTCATTTTTCTGTGCCAGCTGTTGTTGCTACTGCCCTCAGGGCTGTCTTTTGAGAGGCAGGGTAAAGGAATTCTTAGGTTTCCATAACACACACCACACACACCTCAAACCAGGGCCATGTTCCATCCTAGTGGAAACTAATCACAAAAGGGATGCTACAGAGCACGGAGTGTGAGACAGAAAATGTGGAGACAGCTCCTTCTTAAACAAGGTGGAGACCCAGGGACTGAGAACCACACAGGGCACAGCAGACCCTTGGCCAAGGGAGAACCGCTGATGATCTCCTGGGCAGGGAACTCCTACCACAGCTGGCCAGGAAAAAGACATCTGATGATCCTATTTCACAGGGTGAGACAGCTATCACCTAACAGGTGATCTGAATGACTCCCAGTCCCCACCCAACCCAGTGCCTTCATGGCCACAGCAACTGGACGGGGTGCCAGATGCTGATTATCCCCCGAACTTGCCTCAATTCCCGCCTGTATCCTACAGCAGGTTCCTCTCCTCCCTGCAAAGCCCGCTTCCCAGTGACACCCATGGGAGACCCATGAGAGTCTGCTCTATTACACACACACACACACACACACACACACACACACACACTTTTTTCACACACATTCTTAAAATAAAAAGGAATCCTTAAATAAGTGAAAGAACAATGCAGGTTAACTATTACCTCAGTAATTTGGGGTTTTCATATAGTTTATATGAGGTTTTAGGCTGGTCTGTGTATCTAAAGTGTTGTAGATGAGCTAATGAGAATGTCCAGTACTATGCTCTCTATAACCTTCTTCCCCTACAGCAAGTAGACATTCAGAAGTATTCTGTTCACCCTACCTCAGAGGATTCTATCCAGTCATTTGGTGATAGGCTGCTGCTTCATCAGAAGTCATGCAAAGCCACTGAGTGAGTGTGTGCGTATGTGTGTATTATGTGAGTGAATGTGTGTGTGTGTGTGTGTGTGTGTGTGTGTACATGCATGCGTATGTGTAGGCCAGGGCACAACCATGGGTGGCATCCTCAAGTGCCATCTGCCTAGTGTTTTATAACATGCAGCAACTGATTTGGCTAGGCTGGTGAGGTAGCAGGCCAAGGGGCTTCTCCACCCTGGGTCTGCAGATGTACTGTGCCTGGCTTTTTATGTGGAAGCCAAGGATCTGAACCTGGTTCCCTTGTTTACACTTTACTGACTTCAGAAAAACTCTTAAACTTCCTGTCTAAGATAAGGACTCCTTCATGCCCGCTTCACCAGTCTATGATTCTTTATCTAGATCTGCTTTTCTTTATAGCACTGCACACAACCCAAAGTTATATATGTACTTACTCTCCCTGAAGCCAGACATTTTGTGTCTTAATTCACCAGTGTTTCCTCAAGCTAAATACAAAGCCTAGTACAAAGTAGGCATCCAGTATACCATGGGGGAGTGAGGAGGGAGGGAGAGATGGATGGATGGGTGGGTGGGTGGATGGGTGGGTGGATGGATGGATGGATGGGTGGGTGGGTGGGTGGATGGATGGATGAGTGGGTGGGTGGATGGATGGGTGGGTGGATGGATGGATGGATGAGTGGGTGGGTGGATGGATGGGTGGGTGGGTGGATAGGTGGGTGGATGGATGGATGGATGGGTGGGTGGGTGGATGGATTGGTGGGTGGGTGGATGGATGGGAGGGTGGGTGGGTGGGTGGGTGGACGGACGGACAGACGGACGGACGGATGATGACATCGTTAAGTACAGAACAGTTGCTGTGTGTAGATGGAGCAGTGCTGCCCTTAAGTGCCTGCCCACTTGGACTGAACCCTGGCTATTAAGCCCAGCTCTGCCACTGATGGCTGTGTGAACTTATAACTCCTTATGACATCCACATGACCATGTGACAGACCCATGGGCTAATTGTATAGGAACCACTCTGCACAATGTGCTGGAAAGGAACTTCTGTTTAATCCCAGTCATATGTTGCTTTAGCTTTATGCTATGACCAGCAGGGGTCGCTCCAGTTATGCTTAGTAGCATTCACTCTGACAGTAGATGCTAATGTTAGTGAACACATTAAAGAAAAGAGATGCTAGGTAATCACAAAACCTTCGAATCTAAAAATAGGTTTCTTGGCATTCTACTCCCTTGGAAAGTCCAGTTAGACTTACATCTTATGTTATCTCTTTCATTGGAGTTAATTACAGTTATCGGTGTCTTTTCCTGCCTCAGAACACCAAGTGTAGTGCTTCATTTCAGGTACTTTTTAACGTTTAAATTTTTAAAATAAATGTTATTTATGAGCATGTGTGTATGTGTGTCTGTCATGTGTGTGCAGGTACCCATAGAGACCAGAGAAAGCCATCAAATCCTGGGAGCTGGAGTTACAAGTAGTTGCAAGGTGTCTGAAGTGAATTCTGGGAACTGAACCAGAGTCTTCTGCAAGGACAGTATAGATTCTCAAGCCGTGAGCATCTCTCCAGCCCCTCAATTCCAAATAGCTCCTTTCACATTTGTTGCCTTTACATTTCTTTTTTTTTTTTAACCACTTTCAGACATTCTGTGTAACTTACCTTTAATTTGTCTCCACTCTACACACAGTAGGATATGAATCTCAGCACAGGAAGTTTTGCTGTATTTACTACACCTCATAAATAATAGGAACTCAGTTAATACATAAAGGACTTCTGTATGTTACATAAAAAGACTCGATGAATATTGAAAGAATTGGTAAATATATAGAAAATATCTTCTCATTTGAATATGTTTAAGTTATTCCATTTCAAGGAATCTAGTACAAATCATTAAAGTATTATTTATGTTTTTGATCCAGGATTGGCCAAACAAAAATACTAAAAGCTATCTGGGTGGGCGGTGGTGGTTCATGCCTTTAATCCCAGCACTCAGGAGGCAGAGGCAGATGGGCCTCTGTGCATTCCAAGCCAGCCTGGTCTACAGAGTGAGTTCCAGCACAGCCACAGCTATCTCAAAAACCCAAACAAACAAAAGCTAAAAACTGGAGAGATGGCTCGGCAGTTCAGCAGTTAAAAGCACTTGGTGATCCTCCAGAGGATCTGAGTTCAATTCCTGACACGCACATGGGAACTCACAACACTGTGAGTCCAGGCCTCGAGGACCCGCTGCCCTCTCTGACCTCCTCAGGCACTGCGTACACATGGTACAGACACACATGCAGGCAAAGCACCCATACACATAAAAAGGGGAATTTTTTCCTTTTTTAATTTTTAATATTTTTCTTATTTTGCATATCAATCCCAGTTCCCTCTACCTCCCATCCTCCCATGCCTCTCACAACCCCCCTATCCCATCCCCACCCACTCCCCAAGGAGGGTTAGGCCTTTAATGAGGGATCATCAAAGTCAGTCAAATCATTTTGGTTAGGGCCTACACCCTCCCCCGTGTCTCTATGCTAAGGGAGTATCCCTCCATGGGGAACAGGCTCCTGAAGTCCATTCCTACACTAGGGATATACATCCTGGTTCCACTGTCAGAGGTCCCTTAGACTGCCCAGGCCTTGTAACTGAGACCCATGTTCAGGGGGTCTGAGTCTGTCTAATGCTGGTTTCCCAGCTATCAGTCTGGGGTCCATGAGCTCCCCCTTGTTCAGGTCAGCTGTCTCTGTGGTTTCCTCCAGCCTGGTGTTTACAAGGAGAAAATTTTTTAAGTACTAAAGGAAGATTGTGGTTGGGTCATAACATCCAGGAAAGTCCATGGTGTACTGAGCAGTGTGTATCATGAATTCGTAAATGAAAGAGCCAGATTAGAACTTTAAGAACACGCAAATAAAGCCTTCCAAATGTCTGAGTGTGCTGTAAAATATGCATCCTCAGTAAGGAAATGTAACTGGTTTCAGATGGATCTTGATGGATGTTGAGATAGTTGGGATCTCTGTCAGGAAGCAGAGATCTGCATTGTGCTTCCAGGAGTAAGAATTTGAACAAGAAGTTGTTATGTCTTTATTGTTTTGAGCACTGAGGTATGAATGCTTGTGTCACATTAGAAACCTAATCCCCAGGGTGATGGCACTAATAGGTGAAGCCTGTGCAGGTGACTTGGTCCTGTGGACAGAGCATTAGAGCAGAGCCCCTATTGGCAGAGCCTAAGGGGTCCACCCTTACCCCTGTGGGGTGCTCTCTATAAGAACTAGCCCCTCAAAGACACTGTGTGGATCAGCGTTTTGATTCTGGGCTTCTTAGCTTCTATATCTGTGAGAAAGAAAATGTTCTAGGCTCTCAATAGACAGTGTCTCTAAAGAGAGCCGGACCGACTGCAGCAAGCACTCACAACTGTTTGAACACCAAACCAAAGAAAATGTTATTAAAAGATGTTCATCTAGTCTATGCTGTGAGGCATATACAATCTATAGAAAAAGTTTATACATATGATTCTTGTAGGTGTTTAACATGCTGTATCTACTTTACCCTGGAGTGCCAAATTGCTGTGGGAGGGAAAAGGAAGGAGGAAGGAAGGAAGGAAGGAAGGAAGGAAGGAAGGAAGGAAGGGGGAAGGAAAGAGGAAGGAAGGAAGGAAGGGGGAAGGAAAGAGGAAGGAAAGAGGAAGGAAGGAAGGAAGGGGGAAGGAAGGAAGGGAAGGAGGGAGGGAGGGAAGGAAGGAAGGAGGGAGGGAGGGGAGAGAAGAGGAAAGGAGAGAGAGAAAACTGGTCAGCTGAGCAATGCCCTCCTTAGTGGAGAGGTTTTACAGTCTTCTTGGCTGAGGTAACTGGACCAGGCCTTCAAATACATATGGGATTCTAATGACCACAGGTAACTATGGGAGGAGTTGAAAATGAGTGAAATTAATATGTTGTAATTATCTTTTCCCCAAAAAGGTGCTGTATTTGATGATAGGACCAGAAAAGTGCTAGTTGTACAAGATCGAAATAAAGTAAGTTGTTCCTGCCTTATAAATTGCTTTCCATATTTTCCATAGAGAAAAGTAACATGTAGAAATGTTGGGTGGCTAAGGGAATGTAGAGAGATACCTTAGTAGCTATTTCTAAGCAGTTATGGGACACTTAGATACTCCTTTAAATAAAGTTGTGATAGAGAACTGAATCCACCAGTGTGATCCTCGGTGCCATGCTTACTTCCTGGCTGTAGACTATTACACATGAGTGTTACCTGGGAAGACACATTACTGAAGTAGCATTCTTAGTGTTGCCGGAGCTCTGCTCCCAGTATGGACAATACAGAAATTGAAAACATACTACCCCAACATTCCTGTAGCTCATCAGCCTCTGGATAGTCGTAAAATGGATTATTTGCCATGAAAGCCTCCAGAGATGCTTCAGAGGAAATGGCATTTCAAACTGAGACTAGTTGAGTTTCTTACCAGGTTAAGAAAGAGCAGGGGAAGGAGGGGGAGGGAAAAGGAAGGAAGAGAGGAGAGGAGGGGAGAGGAGGGGAGGGAAGGGGAGAAAAGGGGAGGGGAGGGGAGAGGAGGAGAGAAGAGAGTGGAACCAGAGAGATGGCTCAGCAGTTGAAAGCACTTGCTACTCAAACCAGAGTTTGGCTCATAGCAGTCATGTCAGGAGGCTCACAACCACCTCTTTCTCTGGCTTGTGGGAATCTGGTGCCTTCTTTTACCTCTGCAGGTACCCTCGTCCATGTGGCATACATGCACACATGCGCGCGCGCACACACACACACACACACACACACACACACTTGCTCATACATATAAGTAAAAATTGAAAATAATTTTTAAAGTATAAAGGATAGAAAAATAAATTGAGAAATTAGAATTGATTGTGTGAAGGCACAGGGCACAGAGTTCAACCAGTGGCTGCCACATTGGCCACCAAGCAGAACCATCACTGTGGGATTTGATCTGAGAGACTGGCGACAGTACATAAAGGCTTAAAGGTGGAGTCCAGGCTGTTAGAAGCAGCAGATTGAGAGAAGACCATAGTTAGAGGTGCTTTGATGCTCCACATTGGTGTCAAAGTGAAGGAGAATGCCTTTTCTACTCTGGTGCTGGGAATCAAGTCAGGGCTAGTGCTGACTCTGAGCTAGAGTCCAGCAAGTGTATTTATCTTTACACTTTCTGACCCTTCATTAAATACTGAAGGACAAAATAAAACATTTTCCTCATTATATATACTTACAGCATCATAATTTCTCAGGCGTGCTATCTAAAATTACTCTAAGTAACTTATGAGGCTCAAATTAGGGTCATATCTCTGACTCAAACTTTCTTCCATCAACGTAAACTTACAAAGCACCTAAGGTAGTACTATGCCTAAACTTTAGTAAGTTTTATGCTTGGGTTGAAACATAAACATATACATTGAATGGTAATAATTAGAGAGTAGGGGATGTGATTTGACAGACATGTTAAGACCCACTGTGAGGATTTCTGAGAACCAGACATGAGTTTAGGCTTGAAATACAAATCATAGCTATTGACAGGCCAGTGATGACAGAATAATGGTGTATGGGCAGGTTAATGTCATAATAATACCAAGTTCTCAAGTGCCCTATTACATCATTCATCTTTATTACAGAGTTTATGATGATAGTGTCCAATATCTTATCAGTTTCCAGAGAAAAAAAGCTTCCAAAACCACTTCAAAGTGTAACCCAAAAGACTATGTTTTTCCTTGCAGATGAAGTAGATTTCTATACTAGTAAAGTAAGGCATAACATGCTTCGTAAGTTAGTGTCAAGCCTGAGTTGGACACAGAAGGGTGGAAAGCCTGGATTCTGTACTGTAATCAACAGTGTATGGAAAGCAGGAACCCTGCCACTGGTCTGCAAGTCCACATAGCTGAGAGGGGATGCATGCTCCCAGCAGCACACTTCCAGGAAGATAAAGGGTCACAATGCACAGTGGAAGGTCCACAGGTTTTATGAATGAAGGATATGAGATCTGATGGCTTATGATGTCACTTCCTATACTTGAGATTTATAGTATGATGAACACATATAACAGAATTTACAAGGAGACAAATCATGTCAGCCATGAGAGAACTGTCTTGTGCCAGCTCATAATTATTTTTGCTCCATTCTTATTTCTCCCAGAGATCAGGTTTACCTCCTTAGCGTCCTTCCCCCCCTCCCACAAATAGACATAATTGATGTGACTACAAAGAAATGATAGCCAAGAAACCAAATTAATTTTATTCACACTACTTATTAAAAGCAATAACATTTTACATAAAACTATTGACATGAAGAAAATTTGAGTAATATCTGTGATTAGAAACAAAATCCAGTAAATGCATATGAAACTCTAGAGTAGCATACCTCGGTGGTTACATTATTCTGTACTCTACTTATAGCAGCATCTGTAAGATCCTATTTGTTCATAGTTAACTAGCAGCCAGGTTCTGTAAAGTACACAAATTAATAGATACTTCCCTCCAAAGGTTCATTAATACAAGTTATATCACATTAGCTAAATAACACCACTTCCATTTCCTGAAGAATGAGAGGAAAAGATTTCTTCAGTCACCATCTTCATCAAAAGAGAAAAGATGATGTAATAGGAAAGTTGGGGGAAATAGAGTAAAATCACTAAAAAACTAGTTTTTACTGCCATGGCCAGCTGTAGGTGGGCTAGGATAGAAGCAGACGGAGACAGGGAGAATGAGAGCGAATCATGACACCAACTATTTACTTTGCGCTGCAGTTGAAAAATATGTGGAAGTTTCCAGGAGGCCTGTCAGAGCCCGGAGAAGATATTGGTATGTATCTATATGTTTCTGATAAGTTTGAAAATGTTTGGAAAATTCATGTTTCCTTCCTTGCTTTTATGGCTAAAACTAAGAATTTAAATATTCTAATTGGTTCAGACGAAGTCAGACAATTTCAGACAGACTCTGAGGGCTGATATGTAGTGAGCACGAGTTTTCTAGGACAGCCCATCCCTAGGGAGCATTAACACCCCTTTCCAGGAGTGCTCTGAGGTCCTCTGAAAGACAGCAACTGAGATGTTACCAGTAAAGTTCTTTATATTTTTCAAATAAGTCTAAAATTATTAAATTTTGAATTCTTGACTATATTATGGTCACATATGGGTGAAAATTTTTTAAATGAACTTTGAAGTATAATAAAGCCAACTACAAGGAGATAATGATATAATTCTCCTTTGAAGATTTTGCTATTTATTATGAATAGCCCAAAACATAATAAAATACCTTATGAGGAAGTCTCAAGTGAGAAATTATATGCCTCCCATCTCCCACCAAAACATAGGGAGAAAGGCTGGGAGCTAAGGACTGATCTATAAAGAATAGAATTATGCTGTTTAAACCATTAGGTTAAATTCAATATCATCCTGATAAATACTTAGATATGAATATTATTTCTCAAAGACCTTTTCTTTTACATTATCATTTCTCCTTAACCAGTCACTGTATTAGAGCAGTCTCCTGTGTTTATTTATATTTGAGTGTATGTTCATGAAGTCTTGAGTTTTTAAATATTAGACAGATCCAAATGCCCTGCCTGTATTTACATGGCCAGCTCCTAACAACCCATGAGCATGCTGATGACATTCAAATATGTAAAACAAACCTTGGTTTTATGTTCTCAATGATGGTTTGCTTAGTTGTCTCTCTCTCTCTCTCTCTCTCTCTCTCTCTCTCTGTGTGTGTGTGTGTGTGTGTGTGTGTGTGTGTGTGTGTGTGTGTGTGGTGGGGGATAGTCTGTTGACAGTGTCTACTCTCGGGACATTAATGTGATGGCACATGTCTGTTTATCCCAGTACTAAGGAGGCTGAGGAAAGAGGATGGTATTTCAGGCTATCCTGTGCTACTTAGACCATGTCTTCAGAAACATGTCTATTTTGTAGGGGTGCCAAATACTGAGAGTAGGGCCATTTTTTCTCTAAGGCCTCCTTCTTCATTTACTTCCATTACCTATATGATGTGTGAGGGCATATGATCAAGTTAACTCAAGTCTAGCTTTTTCACCCTACACTGAGGGGAAGCCATCTGCAGCCCCATATGCCTTTCCTTCCCGAGACATACCTTTTCAAATGAATTGAAGTGGGGTTTTTTCCCTTTGAACTTCAGTAAATCCTAAAAATTTCAGACAGACTTAGATGTAAATAAAAAAAACAAAACAAAACAAAACATTTTCATGTAAAGTATGCATGAATTTAATTTTAAGTATAACTTCAGAGTCTTTCCTTTAAGTCTAGATCATTTTAAATGCACTGCCAGTTTTTTTTTTTAAGTATTTGTGGTTATCAAAATAACTTATCTGAACTAAAAAGCAGACATTGGCATTCATCATAGCTTTAGAACCTGGTCTTCTACAACTTATTTCTATTGATAGCCAGTACAAAATAAAAGTGTTCTAATGAAGAAGCCGGATTGTTTAGACCACCTGGAAATTATATTATTGAAACCTTTGTTTGGGAAAGCATGAAATACACTTTTGGAATGTTACCACCCTGAGCAGTTCAACATTTACTGGCTGTTAATTAGCCTGTTATTAAATACCAGTAAATGAATACTAGTTAATTGGAAAGCTCATTTGTTTGGAATCTTTCATCTCTGATAATGCAAGGTAGGTGAAACATTGATATGCTGAGAGTTTTTAAGAAATTATGTTGGGAAAATGCAAATCAAACTGAAGTCCTTAAGGCGTGAGTCGAAGGGTGTCTTGTATGGTTCAAAGGAATAAAATACCTTCCTAAAATATGACATTACCATGAGTGAAAGACATATCTTACTTCAGCTAACCAGGGATCTTGAGCAGGGCCAGAGGGAGCTCAAGGAAGCTCACATGCTGAAAGTCTCCTATCACTTTGGCGATGCTTAACCTATGAACAAATTTCAGCCACACAGGGGAAGTCAGCATACAATTAAAGAATGGTGGATAAATGTCAAGTGTTTTAGACCAAGTTACTGTTCCTGTGAACTGTTCCAGAACTGTTTTTTAGAAACAAGAGCATGTCTTAGGTGCTGGTATGTGTCTAGTGGGGCAGGAAAGAGCCCATGGTTTGAGTGCACAGGAACTGTGTGCTTGTGATTGCTCGTCATTGCATAGGTGTTATCAGTAGAATCACTGGTAAGACAAACTTAGGTGTTATTTGGCAGACATCCAGAGAGGCATTAGAAGGCACTAAACAATCTATAACAATTCTAAAGTTTACCAGAAAAGCAGTTGAAGCAGGCAGCTATAGAGCATCAGAATTAGCGAAGTCCATTCAGTCTTCCTAGGTGTCTAGAAAAGGAAAAGCCGTTTGCAAATCAGGCTAGGATACACTGGCAGCTAGGAGGGGGTATAACCATGGTGGAATCCACCAGCAGCTAGGAGGGGAGCATAACCATGGTGGGATCCACCAGCAGCTGGCTAGGAGGGGGCATAACCCTGGTGAAGGACCTTGTCCTGTGAGGCAGTGGGCTTGAGCTCACAAAGAAGTCAGAGTCATTTCACAGCTATCTCAAGTATGTTCATCACTACAACCTTCTGTAACAAAGGACGGGTCCTTTCTCTCAGTTCTAATGTTCACAAACTCAGGCAGTTTGATGGATGTTCAGGGCAGGACAAAAGGGAAGGAAGGGTTGGTCAGAATGTTAACTGCAGCTTTGTTTGCAAATGTGTTCGTTTGAGAAATAGAACAGGAAGAGGTTAAGATGTGGCTCCCACATGTGACATGTGCTTGGCCTCCAAGAGGACCCTCAGTGTTTCAAAAGCATCTTAAATACAAAGTGCATTATACAACATCCAGAAAGCAGTTTGAAGACAAAGCTTGGCTGTTAAATTTCCAGATTTTAACTGAAAACCTTTGATGGCATCTCTAAGAACGAAATCTCTATAGTTGTTTCTCTATTTCACGCAGGTGACACAGCAGTCCGAGAGGTTTTCGAAGAAACTGGTGTGAAGTCAGAATTCAGGTCCCTGCTGAGCATCCGGCAGCAACACAGGAACCCTGGAGCCTTTGGGAAGTCAGACATGTACCTGATCTGCCGCTTGCAGCCATATTCCTTCACTATCAACTTCTGTCAGCAGGAATGCTTGAAGTGTGAATGGATGGATCTAGAAAAACTTGCCAGGACTGAAAACACAACCCCCATCACCAGCAGGGTGGCTAGACTATTGCTGTATGGACACAGGGAAGGGTTTGACAAAATTGACCTCAGTATGGAGGAACTCCCTGCAGTGTACACAGGCCTGTTCTACAAACTCTATCACAGGGGACTGCCAGAGAGTTACAGAGCCACAACGGGAGTAGATTGGATGCAGCCATCCAAGTGAACCAAAGAAGGACACAGTCTTATGTATTTAATTCGGTTAATGACTGGCACCTGTCTTCTCACTTGCATGATTTCCATGATGGAAATCCATAAGTGTACATATTCTTAAATCCTCTTTTCAAATAAAGAAAACAAATGAAAAAGATTGTGGCTCTAATCATCACTGGGTCACAACCAAAGCTCTATAAAAGGGGGAAGTCTAAATTATTTTTTTTCCAAAAATTGCTGTTTTTCTTTACTGAGGTAATGGTTAAGTGTCTTGTTACATAATGAATGATCAAACCAGGTATCCAAACTTAGTAGTGTTCATCCTTTTCTCTCATTAACAGTTTCTACAGTGAGTCAGCTCTTAGCAGACATCGGAAGGAAGAGTATGGCCTTCTGCCCAGGTCCCGTTTTGGATCCGAGTTTATACTGCCCAGTTCGCTTCAGTGCCACATACCAGCTGGAGTATTTCCTTGACCGGTAAGTATTGTAGTTATTAGATTCCAAGCGTTCAAAAAAGAAACACTCTTCTGTAACACACTTCTGAAAAAGAAAGGAAATTTTGTTTTTGTGTCAAACACCGGTGAGAGGACAGCAAGTCAAATGAGCAAGACTACAGGTCAAAATGTGACCAGAAAGTAGCACAATACCTCCTGGACAGTAGTAGCCCAAGGATCATTCCAGTCCTGTGATCTGACAGCAGTAGCCCACATGGAGGCTACAGGGGGGCCCCTGAAGGACGGTCACATGCTCTACTGAGAGCCACAAAGAGGGGAGTTCCTCCAGGTGCAGCTCATACCCCACCCCACCCCCAAATCCCTGGCATAGCTTTACATTTCTCATGGGGTTTAAGGGAAACAGTGTCCAAAAGATAACCCTGAGTACTCTTCCCACAAAGCACGGGGGACAGAATAAGTCCCCGGAAGTCACAAGTGTCAGCTAGTGGCTAAAGTTGCTCTGTAGAAAACATCTAAGGTTGTCTGAGTATTACTCTGAAACAGTGAATGGTGTGAGACTAACAATCTCCAAATGCCAGCCAGCAACAAAGAACAAACAGGCTAGGTAGGGCACACTGTATTCTGAACAATACACAATCTGGAACACACTGGTTTCTGGAAAATAAGCAATCCAGGATGTACTGGTTTCTTTTTGTTTGTTTGGTTTTTGTTTTTTGTTTTTTGAAATAGGGTTTTTCTGTGTAACAGCCCTGGCTGTCCTGGAACTCATTCTGTAGACCAGGCTGGCCTTGAACTCACAGAGATCTGCCTGCCTATGCCTCCTGAGTGCTGGAATTAAATGTATGGGCCACACCACCCAGTTGGATGTACTGATTTCTGAGGAATAAGCAATCTAGAACATACTGGTTTCTGCAATTCTCATTTTAAGTAGGATGGATGGAACCCTGCCTTTTAATTTGTATTTGCCTGTATAAGAAAAATAAAATAGCTGGGTCTGGAAATAATGTTGTAAGTAATGGACTCTGAAAGCTATCACATTGTTTAGGGAAATGTTCAGAAATCAACTTCACAGGGTAACGACCTTGGGCCATGGGGAACCAGCTATTCATTTTACAAGAAAACAGGGAAAATCACTGCTTCTTAATAAATATATATGTCAACCAGCTGGGCTTATATAGAAAGATATATATCTACCATGTTGATGGACAGCAGACTCCATTTTCTTTTTAGTTAGCAACATTAGAATTGTTCTTCCTCAGTAATCTTGCAAATTATACATCATAAATTGTTCCCACTGTTCTGAGAATTGACTGACCTTAAGTTGTTTTGTGGCATGTTAACTGTCTGACCATAAGCCGATAACATGTATCTTCCCATGATCATAAAAATAAGTGCAAAATTCCAATTTTAATCACTTGATCAATTGGTATAAAGAGACTGTCCTCTCTGTCTTTAATCTGGGCTGTTTTCATTCACCTACAATGAGAGACTGAAAATATGGCCTAGTCATTATTAAATTTTAACTTTGCAACATCTCAGTGTTAGTTCTTGGCTTTTGACAACATAACATGTATATTTTAAAACAAATATATAAATATATACATATTTATATAAATTTATATATTATACAAATATATAAATATATGATGTGTATTTGATAAGTATATTGGGTTCCACTTTAATATTTTTTATGGATTCAGTTATTTTATGTGTATGAGTGTTTTGCCTGTTTGTATGCATGTGCCCACAGAGGTAGAAGATGACATCATATCCTCTGGAACTGAAGCTTCCAATGGCTGTGAGATACCACAAGGGTGCTGGGAATCAAACCTCAGTCTTTTAAAAGAACAAATGCTCTTAACCACTGAACCTTTTCCCTTCACTAATAAATATAGAATGGGTCTTAACATGCCATGAAACATCTTTTGGCCAGTCAATTCTCAGAACAGTGAGAACAATTTATGATGTGTAATTCACAAGATTACTGACGAAGAACATTGTTAACTAAAAAGAAAATAGAGTCCATTGTCCCTCAACATACATGGTAGGTGTATGGCTTTTTATTTAAGCCCAGTTGCTTGACATAGATTTATTACTAGTGGATTTGGAATGCTACCATGTACTATGTACAATAATTCCAAGAAGCCATCTGGCTTAGTTCTCTTAGTGGGAGATGAGAGCCAAGCAAGGAGCAGAGGTAAAAAATACACCAGGACACCAACAAATCATGGGTGACATGGTGGCCTCAGGACATATTAACCCATGTTTATTTAATATAATCAGACCCAGGTGTGTGTAAGAAGGTTAAAGTTAGTAATATGTAAATCTCTGACAGAACTGGGAAGGAACAACAACTCAAAAAACAGCAAGCACACTAAATCATGTATGATTCCACTTTCTAATAAAAAGAATAAGAGTCCTTGGAGAAATGAATAACTCCAGCATATCATGGGGGATTTACATGTGGGTCTTGGTGCCCGACAAGTGATGGAGTAAACACATCGAGAGGTATCAAGAGCACAGAGCCAAATACAAGAGTTCCCAAATGTTTCAGCAACAAAATAAGTCTTTGGCTAAGTGCTTATAAAAATGATTGAACTGAAGTAAATGGAGAATAGACAAATTTCCTGCATAAAGAAACTTTAACTTATCTAGGTAACACTCCCACCCTCAATGACATAAAGCAAAATCATGTACGAGTGATCTCCTACTTAGTGATACCCTTCCTGCCATACACCATCCCCTGAGTATGAACAGCTGCATGGTGACTTGCTTCCTGCAACACACCATCCCCTGGATGTGAACAGTTTCATGGTGACTTCCTACCTGCAACACACCATCCCCTAAGTGTGAACAGCTGCATGGTGACATCCTTATGATGCCCTGTCACTTAACAGTGAACTCCCTTTCCAAGGAGAGGAAAGACAAACTTCAGAGTGGACCCCCTCTCTCAGCCAAACAGTGAAGGCTGTACTTCTGTGGGTGTCCTCTCAAACTTTCAGAACTCTGTCTACACACAAGATAAACACCAGGCAATATCAAACTGGAGATTCATAAAAATCCCTGAATGTCAAAGTAATGAAATCTAAGAAATGGTCACTGACTAGAGGAAACCATAGAGACAGGATGATCAAAGCTGGGAAAAATTAAAGTGTTATAAGTCAGAGTAGACTTTAGCTACTGGTATCACAGTGTGACAGGCATCCAGCTGTGGCTATCTTCCTGACTTCCCTGAAAACTTACATCCGTTATAGAAACAAATTGTATTTTTAAGGAAAATTTACCCTGGTGTTATGATTATACAGTATATATCTGTACTAGACATACACTGTCCACACTAAATATGTAAAACTGCATGACAAAGATAAAACAAGTAATGCAAAAAGACTGACCCAAGAACTGCTAATGTTACCTGAAAAGAACCCCTCCACATGGAGGAGTGGCTTAGTGGAGAAAGTGCTTCCTATGCAAGTATGAGGGACAAGAGTTGAGATGCCCAGAGCTCACATAAATGCCAGGTTGGGGAGGTGGCCGCCTATAAGCCAAGCACATGGAAGACAGAATCCCCAGAGCAGGCTGCCTAGCCAAACTAGCCAAAATTGCTCCAGATTCAGCAAGAAACCTTGTGTCTTAGTTATTGTTTCTATTGCTGTGATCACACACCATGACCACATCAGAGTCCACCACTAAAGGAAGGTCAGGAGAGGACTCTGGGGACAGGGGCTGATGCAGAAGCCACAGAAGGGAGCTGCTTACTAACTTGCCACCTCATGGCTTGCTAGCTTGCTTTCATAGAGCACCACGGACCACCAGCCCAGAGGTAGCATTGCCCACAGTAAGCTGGGCCCTCCCTCATCAGTCAACAACAAGAAAGTACACCATAAGTTAAGTTACCCATGGGCTAATCAGGTGGGGACATTTTCTCAGTTAAGATTCCTTCTTCCCAAATGACTATAGTCTGTGTCAAGGTAACAGAAAACTACCAGGTCCCCCTGCCTTGGTACATAAGGTGGACAGTGACCGAGAAAGAAACCAGATGTCAGCCTTGGGCCTCTACGTGCATGTACACCCTTGAACTCCCACTTCTAATTCCATCTCACATACACGTGCAGAAAACAATTTCTCCAGAGGCTGAATGTAATCTCTAGCTATAAAATAAAAGCAACGTACTGGCTTTTAAGCTGTTTTTTTAGTGATTTTTTAAAATCACCACTACACACAGATACAAGCTGTTTATCTATATATGTCCCTTTAGTTTGTGTCCTTAAAATGCCTCATTCCTGGAGAGTGAACTGCTTTCCCAGCTGCTGTTGTTGCCTGCACAAGATTCACACAAGATCAAGCCAGTCAGCTTTCTAGGCAGGAGGTGGGAGGGGGTCCCCAGCCTCTACCCTTAATTGACAGTTGATGGCTCCTAGAGGAAAGAGTAGTTTCCCCAAAGGGTGAGGCACCTGATAAAATGTGCCCATTTTATGACCCCACACCCAGGAGTAGATGAGCTGTATAAATTGAACTCAGTGGGTTTTTAAAAAATATAAAGTTGGGAGGGGGTTGAAAGGTGGGGTTGGATCTTGGAGAAGTTAGGGGAAGGGAATGGGGACTGAATATGATTGAAATACAAGGAATTCTAAAAGAATTAATAAAATTAGTGTAATAAGAATAAACTGACTGGGCAGTGGTGGTGCATGCCTTTAATCCCAGCAAAGGCAGGGGGATCTCTGTGATTTTGAGGTCAGCCTGGTCTACAGAGTGAGTTCCAGTACAGCCAGAGATGTTACACAGAGAAATCTGTCTCAAAAAACCAGAGAGAGAGAGAGAGAGAGAGAGAGAGAGAGAGAGAGAGAGAGAGAGAGAGAGAACTGCTGTGTGGTGACAATAAGTCCCATGTGAAAATTTTGATGTAGTATATCTGTTGTAGTATCCATGCCTGCCATATAGTAAGTGATATAATATATATCTGCTAAGTTAATGAGCAAATAAAATATTTTAGATAGGCTAAAGCTACACTAATGTTGCAGAATCTGAATAGGAGAAACAGGGCCTGAGAAATCCAACTTCAAGTGAAATATAGTCTGTGGTTTCACATACTGACTATAGACTCTGAGGAAACCTAGATGGCCCTTTCCAAGAGTCTTAACTACCCTGACTGGAGGGCATCCACAATGGCCTCCAGCCAGCCACGCTGCCTAGCCTCCAGCTTTGCCTTACCCCTAACTAATGCGCACGATTTCTGACCAAGTTCTACCCCTTCTCTAGGCCTCACTGGATCAGACGATCTCCACAGTTAGAAAAGTCTGATGCCCGGCGGCTTCCCAGCACCTCTCCTGTATACGCATTGGCTGGCGTGGGGCCTCTACTCAGTTTTAGGTTTGAACCTTATGGCCACTTCCCCACACTCAGTTCTCTGAGTTGTTTACTCATTTACAGTACTTTGATTTCTGCAGTTTTGGCTTATGAAGGAGTTTGCTCAATAGGAATCTCAAAATGCATTTAATCATACCCCTTCTGGGAATTAAAAACAGATGTGATGGAAGTACCCATGTTGAGCATTTCAGAACTAAATAAAAACCACAAATGGGAACAGTTAAGAGCCAATGTGGTCTCAATCATATAAAAAGGCTATGGAGAATTGTTGGAAATGGTTTCGAAGAGCACTAATTCTCACTTGGCCATATTTTCTGCATTCGATCTAGCATTTCATCTTCTTACCATGAGGCCACTTCTCTTAAAGCTCTTAAAGCTCTGTTCTGACACGTTTGGTCAGTGCAGACTTTTGAGCTTTGTACTGAACCATAAACACTGCTTTCCCTACACTTCTACAGTGTACAGTTCTTCTCACTGTTAAAACCCCTCAAGTATGCTTGGCAGTGGTGGTGCACACCTTTAATCCCAGTATTCAAGAGGCAGCAGCAGGTAGATCTCTGTGAGTTCAAGGCCAGCCTGGTCTACAGAGCTAGTTCTGGGACAGCCAAGGCTGCACAGAGAAACTGTTTCAAACAAAATGACAAGCAAACAAAAAAACAAAACAAAAATAAACTACATGAGAAGGCTGTGATATATCAAAGAACTATAACTCTAGCCTCCAAATACAGGCCTTTGCAGTGAGGTAAAGCTGATGTTTGGACACTCGTATTCCCTAGTTTTGAAAAGAGGAAGGTCTCTTTTTAAAATGTTTTCAAAGGCTGGGGAGATGCTGGAAAAGTGTTTGCTATGCAAGCATGAGGACCTGAGTCTGAGCTCCAGACTCAGATTTAAAAAGCCTGTTACTGCTGGTAACAGTGATATAGCACATATCTTTAATCACAGTACTTAGTAGGCAGAGGCAGGTGGATATCTGTGAGTCAGAGGCCAGTGTGGTCTACATAGGTAGTACCAGTCCAGCCAAGGTTACATAGTAAGACCCTATCTAAAAAAAATAAAAAATAAAGGACACAAAAGGACCTTGAGGCTTTCAGTTCAACCAACTTAGCCTACTTGGCAAGCTCTAGCAAGAGATCCTGTGCAAAACAAACAATAAGGTGCACAACTGCCTAGTGATTCCATTCAGTTCCAGGAGATCTGCTGCTTTTTTGTGGCCGCCACAGGAACTGCACACATGTGGTACACATACAAACAGTCACACACACATAAATACACAGAAATTTGAAAAAGAAAGTAAAATGTACAGCATCTGAGGAACTATACCAAGGTTGAGCTCTGGCCTCAAAATCACATGTATTCACACAAATAAGAACATACACATGGTTTTAAATCATAAACAATCTTTAACCCAAATGCTTTCAGACCACTGTCCTGTAACGCTATGAGACACACCAGTCCTTTCTTGTACCTTCAACTACCAGTAAAACTAGCACACCTCTCTGAAGTACTATTGTCTCCAAGAGCATAATTGTGTTTGGGAACCACTACAGGAATCAGAGTCAGTGTTAGGTCCCAAAGAAACTTACAACAAAAGGCCAAGGACTTTATCAATGTATCTAAGTGGGCCCTGGCTACCAGGCTCCCTCAGTACTACAAGTACCTATTACAGTGTCCTGGCTCTGCTCAATCACTTCTCACCCCTACTCTAAACCTCCCCAGCCCGAGCTTCCTTTCCCTTCCCCCAGCTTCTCTCCTCTAGACAACCCAGCCATTTCGGCCATGTGCCCTCTTGGTCCACTTGGCCTCCTTCTTGGTTCTCTTGGTCTTTGTTCTCCTGGATTTCTACTCTTGGTCCTCTGCCCTTGACTCCTGATCCCCTCATTTGCTCCCCCTTCTCTTCTGTTTGCTCTCTCCCCTCCCTCCTCTCATGGCCTGGTCTATTCTGTTGGCCATGTTTAGTCTGGTCCCCCCCCCCCCCCGATACCTCTGCATGTTCTCTCCCTCACATCTACAATAAAACCTCTTCAACCACACCTAGAAGCAGCATGTCATCTTCATTCAATGGGTAACAGTCACAGAAATCCCGTATTACCATCACACATAGGGAGATGTGGAGTCAGCAAGAAGGTAGGCAGACAAGCCTGGGCAATGACAAGCTTACAAACACCTTCTCCAGACACGAGGCACATTTACAGCCCCAAATGATGGCTCCTGATTGGGACACTGGATTTACTCCAGAAGTCACTACTGTTGACAGCTCAATTGGCAGATCTGACTTGGAGAAAGGCCCCTTAGCAAAGCCATCAGCACCTCTCCTGCTGTGAGGTACAGCACTTACTTCATCAGAAGATAGTCAGCCCACCCTGACCAGCAGAGAAGAGGAGCTTGCTGAGAATTCCTGCCAGCCATCCAGCCATCCAAACTAGATGCTGAGTCCAGAGATTAGCTGGTAACTTGGCAGGACTGGGCCCTCCAATGGGGGCTGGAACACATACCAGCTGTTACCACAACTGATCTGGCTGGTGCTCTTCCTTGGAAGTGCCTAATAACTATTGAATTCTCTCTCTCTCTCTCTCTCTCTCTCTCTCTCTCTCTCTCTCTCTCTCTCTCTCTCTCTGTGTGTGTGTGTGTGTGTGTGTGTGTGTAAAACAGTTGGGCTTTGTCCCAGCTGAGAGTTTGTGACAAATCTCTAAACTTTACTAAACTGACTCTTACTCTATCACTTTGGCGGCAATCTGTTGCATCTTGAAGAGCTGGCATACACTAAGGGAGCAGAAATCCAGTAAGACTCAGTAGGGCAGGACGGCCTTCACTTTGCAACATGGTTTTCCTCGCTGAGGAAGGGACCAGAAACACTCCCTAGTTTTTAGTACATTATGAAGCTTGACATCTATTTGTCAAAAGGTCAGAACTCTACAATGGCCTGGACAGCTCTGCTCTCACCTCTACCATCTTTAACTCGTTTCCTCTCATTTGTAGCCCAGTCACCACAAAGATGGTGATGGGCAGGTGGGCAGCTTCCGCCTCCTTCCTGGGGTTCTTTAATCATTGCAGATGAACCAGCCATCCAGCCTATGTTCTTGAGACCAGGTCCTTTTGTGATTGCCATATAGGCTCACTGTGATCTAGAAAGGACAGAGCCTCAAGGCTATGGGGCTAGTGCAGTCCACAACCAATTGTGACCAAAACAAGGCCAGCCCTGCAAATGCTATTTGTGTTTTTGATAGGGCCTAGTCTGCAGCTCCTTTCTCAGGCACAAACCTGGGCTCAGGTGTGGCCTTGTGACTATAGAAAACTGCAGATAAAGCCTAGGAGGGATATCCTCCATCACAAAACAAGGCCATGAAGACAGGGAAGTACAGAAGGGAGAATTCAGATTTAGGGGGAAGATAGTTCACTCAAGTCTGCTTGTGATGCTTTCTCTAGCAGCTAGCTTCACCATCGTGAACAGCAATGGGAAACAAACAGCGTTCATTCTTAAAGTGAGCCCAGAGTCATGTGCCCCTGTCTACCATTACCCTCCTCCCTGGGTTCCTGTGATGCCCACAGTTGTTCTGGCCACAGCAGTGATTCCCCTCATGTGTGATCAGCCTCCACACCACTCCCAGACTCCTCTAGGCCACACTGCACTGCTGCCAGAGTGCTCTCACCCGGAGGCAAACCCTACTAGCCCTGGAGCTCTGTGTCCTTACAGGGAGCATTGTTAGCATGTCAGCAGGCTTGGCTGTTTGCCTGGCCAGCCTTCTCTTGTCCCTTTTATTGTGTTCTGTCCTTTCCAGGTCACACCCCAGCTGTGGTAAGTTGCTTGTAATTTTAGAGATGTACTAAGTGGCCTCTTGTATCCACCTTTTCAGCTCTACCCTCTGCCTGGGATCCCTTTCACCTAACACCCTAAGTAGAATACCTCCCAGTGTTCTACACAAGCGGGTCCCTTCCCTCCATAAACTATTCTTTATATCACAATACTTCTAACCTTCTCATGTATGTAATGTATGTATACTATGCATATATGTGAAATATAGAAGAAACCCAATAAAGTACCCACATACTGCACTGATACTTGGGTTGCCTTCCTACACAGTGGACCCATTAGGGGCAGAGAACAGGTAACCCTTGGCTTTATAAGGCTGCTGTCCAGCACATCTGGCATACTGTACACTATGAGCATGAGCTACTTTTGTAGAGGGTCTTAAAATGTTTTCAGCTACCAAATGAAAATTATGGGTCCAGCACGAAGCTTTGTCAGTTATCTAACTTGGAGTGATTTGGAGCCACTGTGAATGCAGGGCACCCAGCTGTGACTTCATATCCACTGTGTGTCACTCCCTACTTGAGTCCTAAAGTCTAAAGTGTAGAGAATGCTGTTACCTAGGGGAATACAAAGGTTAAGTGATGTACATAAAAACCCAAACAGACTCAGTAAATGCCACTAAAAAACTGTACAAAGCAGAGGAAAGAAACCCCTTAGAGAGACTACTCACAGAAGCCAGCAGCCTTCCGTCCTCCTTCATAGCAAGATACCGGTTTGCACACACTCCCTTGATAGACACGACCCCTCTCTCTTCTGCTTGGAGTTGTAGTTTGACTGTAAGTAACAGAGAGAAATTATCTTTATGGCACCAGAGAGCACAGAACAATACACAGAACATATACCACACACACACACACACACACACACCATTCAACAGACCATATCATATACAACATACACCATACCATATGCATACATACACAACACATCACAAACACACACCATACCACACACACATACACACATACACAAACACACCACTCACACACCATACTATACACACGCAAACACCACAAACACACACAAACCACACCACACACACACCACACAATACAGACATCACACACATAGCACAACACACACATCACACACACACCCTGCCTAGCAAGGTGCTGATCTAGTGTGCAGACCAGTGAGGTATAGAAGGAGTTGGGTAGACATCACTTGGGGCTGAGCTAGGAAGGAGTGGATGCAGAGCCCTCATGCTGTACCGGACTATGCACGTAGAGGACAGAGGAGGGAAAGGATGGAGAACGCATACCCTTGCTGGCCTCACTTGGCCCTGTTAACCATTGACAGTTTTGAACAGTTACCATATGTACACTTCTGCTATTCTACTCCTGGGCATGCACCCAGAAGGTTTTACACCCTACCACAGAGAGACTGGCACACCCATGCATAAATTGATGCTCTGTTTACTACAGCAAGGAAACTGACCCAGCTGAGGTGTCCTCAACAAATAAATGGGTTTTATTCTGCTGTAAAGAAAAAAAAATCATGAAAATTTCAGAAAAACAGGTGGGATTATAAGTATACTACTAAGTGAGTGGCCCAAGCTCAGAAAAGAACAAAACTGTCATGTTCTCCTTCACATGCTGATACTGGCCCACAATTGTGTGCATGTATAAACAGAAGCAAGCAGGGAATGGCATTACAGAAGATGAGAGGCACTGGGTGATGATAAGGAAAGGCAGAAAGGATGCAGGCAAAGGATGCACCAGGCATTAAGGAAAACAGAAAGCTGTTTTCTAGTTTCAATTCTGTCATAGCCTCTCTCTCTCTCCCTCCCCCCTCTCTCTCTGTGTGTGTGTGTTAGATATGTGAATAAAAATGCAGCTGATAATGAAAGTGTAAGACTCTGTGCAAAGCTCCCTGGCTTCAGAATGGCCTTCCTGGCCACACAGAAGTTCACTGAGACAGGCTGAGCTTGGGCCTGGGAAAGCATTTGAATGGCTTTCTTAAACTAGCTGTGCAGTGTTTTTTATTTGTATGTTAATTAAAACAAAATTGTTTGTTTTTTGTTTGTTTTTGTTGTTAATAAATGTATTTTAAGACTACAAGGAAATGAGGACATCTGTAAGATGTCTGTGCAACTGCATAAACGTTTTTAAAGTTGTGTTTGGCCAATTTTTCAAAAATAAGGAGCAATCCAATCCATTGCTGTCCCTGGAGCCATCTCCCTGGCTTCTTCACATCTTATTTCTACCTTATCTTTCCATTTTCCAATGTATTATTTGTCCTTTTGAGGGACCTTCTATTTCTTATTTTATCAATATCTGTGGAGGCCCAACATATACATGGTTTGCTCATACAGTGTGACCTATCGGTATGACCCACACACTACGTCATATTATGTAGATTTCAGGGAAACAAAGCCAAATGTTACCTGATTATGATAATGTGATTTAGACAAAAATTATCTAATTAATTGAGAGTAAAATGAAGTTAAACATTTCTATTTTGCTATTTCAAGGAAGCATTTCCCTGCTATGACAACCTTCCCCAAAATATATTTTGGATAACAAATGTTAGCTAAAATCAAGTCCTGAGGTTAAATACATTTTGTGAATTCTTTTTGTTTGTTTGTTTGTTTTTCAAGATGGGGTTTCTGTGTGTATAGCCCTGGCTGTCCTGGAATTTGCTCTGTAGACTAGGCTGGCCTTGAACTCACAGAGATCCACCTGCCTTTGCCTCCCGAGTGCTGGGATGAAAGGTGTGTGCCACTTATAACCAGTAATTTTGTGAATTCTTAACAAAGCCCATAGCATGACAAAATACCCAACAGAAGCAAATAAAAGGAAGGAGGTCCATTTCCGTTCAAGGCTTCAGATGGTGCAGTCCATTGTAGCAGGGAAGGCACTGTGGGCAATTCAGTGGGAGGGGACAATGTGATACCACATCTTCCTTCTTGGTAGCAACGGGACCAGAAGCAGGGCCAGACTATCCTCCAATGACCTACTCTTACCAGCCTGGTCCAGCAGAGTCCCCAAGCAGCACCCCACTGGGGTGAGATATCCAACTATGCAAGCCCATGAGGGCCATTTCAAACTCAGAATAATACCAAACTTTACTGCCAAACTTCTCACAACTCTGCCCAGGAAAACCTATGATGTAAGTCATTATAGAAGGGTTGGGTACAGAGTGTTCATCAAATATGTTTGGTCCCAGAAAAAAGGAAGTCATAAGTACTCCAGTACAAATAGCACATGGGTCCATCTGGGCACTACCCACAGGAGTAGAAAAACCTGATGACATTTCAAAATTTTAGAAGTCAATGAAATATGATTGTAAGGTAAATTTAATGTCCCTACTGTTTACAAGTAGCTAAGGAAACAGCTTCCAAAAGACCCCAAAATAATTATTAAAATTGCTAGATTATGTTGCAGTTATTATAGCATGCTGTTTTTCCTATCTGGAAATAAACACACACACACACACACACACACACACACACAGAGAGAGAGAGAGAGAGAGAGAGAGAGAGAGAGAGAGAGAGAGAACCTAATATATGAGGTTATCATTAAAATACTCTGACAGTACAAATGTCTTATCCAGTAGGGAGGATAAGTAAAATACAATTGATGTGTTTTAGATCTATGTGAAACATGGTATCCCATGATTCTACAGTATCTTGTATATGTTGAGAGTTCATATTAAAAAATAAGAGTTCTGCTGGGCATGTCTTTTCCAGCTCTCTCTGTGAAAGTCACCCTTGGCTCCAGAGAGCATTGGCCATGTAAGGACACAGATACCCAGGTCAAGCTCTTCTACTGAACTTAAAAGATAATATAAAATGAAGAGAACACAATCAAAACAGGGAACTTAAACAAATAGGAGCGAGAAGTCTTGCACTATCACTGGTTAAACAAAGGAGCCAGATTTCAGTACTTTTGTGTGCCTGTCACCAGGCCAGAAACAAGGTATTCCAGAAGAGGTGACCTGTGAAGATGTAGGCCACTCTAGCTTGTGCTGTGAGCAAGGCCATGGGCAGGGCTACACAGCCTGTCACCTCTGCACCAAGATTTCCCCTCAGTCTCAGCTTACCCTTCCTAATGTGCATTTCCAGTCCCAGTGGTGACTGGATCATCAATGTGTAGATAGATCAGTGTTAGCCTCAGGGTAAGTGTCATCATTCAGGGTCACTCAGCTTCATTTACAGACCTCTCAGGTGACGTATACCTGGATACTGTCAGCCATTTATCCACTGAGAAGTGGGCATTAACTATAAGGGCTTAAAAAATAACCAGAGTTGGATATGTCATAAAGGCGTTCAAACCAGAATATATTAATTCCATGTCCAGATGATCCATTCACAAAAGCTGATGCACAGCCATGTCCCTGATGATGAGGTGTGTTGCTTCGATGCAGCAGAAAGATGAACCTTGTTTTCTTAATCCTATCTGTTAGTCTGTTTCTTTGAATTAGGGAATTGAGACTGTTAATGTTGAATGTTATCAGTAAGAAGTGTTTACTGGTTCCTGTTGTTTTGTTGTTATGATGAGGATGGGAAGATGCAGGCGAGTTGAAAGTGAGAATATATGTGAAAAATGTGAAATGAACTCCTTAACACAAGCTGGTATAGCAACACATGGCAACTCAGACCAAGGCAAGAGGTCCAGCCAGAGATGATCAACACAGTCCATGATGGCACAAGGTCAGGCATTTTACAAAGGTTGTGTATGGCAGAAGTCTAAAGAATTAGAAACTGAGAATAAACTCATCAATAATATGGCATTATCACTAAGCTTGGCCTTTTAGATCGTGTAGACATCACATAATACATCTTTATCCTGTTAGCACCACAGCTATTTATTTCAACAGGATATGTAAAAATACTAACCCCACCATCCTTACTGATGGGCCCACTGTACTTGCATGGTCCAAATAAATAATCCTCCCCAAGAAGTTTAATTCTTAAAATCAATATGGTATTCAGTGAAGGCTGAGGAGACACTGTCGGTAAAAGGATTTAATCTAACACAAGAACCTGTGCTCCAAATCCAGAACCCACAAATAAACTGGGAATGTGTCCTTGTAATCCCAGTCCTGGGGAGTCAAGCAGGCCCCTGGGCTCCATGGCCAGCCAGCCTACTTTACTTGGTGAGATCCAAGCCAGTGAGAGACTCTCCAAAAAAGATGAGAAAACAGCTCCTAGCAGAAAAAGATTATAATTTGGCTCACAGAGTCAAAGGATTGAGTCAGTTGATGTCCCAGTGTGATTTTTCTGTCACTGTCATAAAGCACAGATCAAAAGCAACTTAAGTGTGCTAGTTTGAATAAGAATGGGCCCCATAGACTCATAGACTTGAATGTTTAGTCACCAAGGAGTGGCTTTATTAGGTGTGGCCTTGTTGGAGGAAATGTGTCACTGAGGGTGGGCTTTGAGTTTCAGAAGCTCAAGCCAGGCCTGGTGGCTCACAGTTCTCTTCCTGCTGCCTGAGGATCCAGATGAAAACTCAGCTCTTCTCCAGTACCACATGTGCCTGTGTGCTGCCATGCTCCCACCATGATCATAGTGGGCTAAACCTCAGAAACTATGAGCCAGCCCCAATTCCTTTCTTAAGAGTTCCCATAGCCATGGCATCTCTTCACATCAACAGAATGCTGAGTTAGACATTAGGGAAGGAAAAGGTTTACTACTGCTTACAACTAATGGGTCTGTCCTTGAGGAAAGCCAGGCCAGGAGTCTGGCAGGAACTGAAGCAGGGACTACAGAGAAACATTACTTACTAGCTTGCTCTCCCTGACTTGCTCAGCCTTCCCAGGGATGGCAC